AAAGGCCTCCTGAAATAAAACTGAAACTTAGCATGGATGATGCCTGCCTCATATCTAATGGGAAGGGGCAGGAGATGACCAGGGGTGTGGTCTGTGTGCAAGCAGGCCTGCAGAAAAGGAGGAGGAGGCATGGGCATTGGAATGAAGATGAAAGTGGGTGCAAAGAAAGCCTGCAGACTAGACAAGAGAAATACCTTCATAAATGAGGTTTCAAAGGGGGAAAGGGAGCTTAGTATTGCATGGGGTGGGAAAGAAAAGCTCTGGCAGGGGCAGAGGGTTGGCAAGCAGTGAGCAGATGTGCAGCCCCAAGTAAACAATAATAATTTAAACAGGCACCACCATGTATAGTCAATGGCTTCATGCTAGAGAACAGAAACCACAGATTTTACAGATATTTGTTCCAAAAGCTGAATTAGAAACAGATTTCTGCCACTTTCAGGCTTTATTTTTGGTTGTATAAAACAATTAAATTCAGTTAAATGATCATGTCCAGGCTATTAATTTACCTTCTAATAAAGGAATATTTATAAAGAATCATTATGTCAAATCAAACGAATATTCAGCTTCATCAGTTCAATCAATAGGAACCAAATCACAGCTACAGTAGTTTGGGAGGGAAGGGAAGAAAGTAACCCACAGGTGTGAGCTAAAGTCATTAAAATGCCTGAACCACTGTGCCAGAGCTTCATAAATCTTGTAACATGGAATATAATCAGAAGGAGGTATGCTATTATGGTATAGATATTTTACAGTGGAATCCTATGTATGTCTATTCAGAATGAAGTATGCCTCACTGTATTCAATGGGATTCATTCCAAGGTGTCTGTGTGGGATTGTGGCCAGGAGCAGAGAGTGTGGTGGGGCCCTGCGGCTCACCTGACCTCCAGTTGGTTGTGTCACTGCTGCTTACTGGGAGGCAGAGGGGTGGGACAAGGCGGTGACAAATGCACCAGTTGGAGCACCAGATTGGCCCCACCAGTGCCTCTTCTCCACGCTGTACTCGCCACCACCTCACCCCTCCACCTCTTTCATCAGGTAAGCAGCAGCAGCATGGCTGCCCAGAGTTCAGGTGAGCAATAGCAGTCCATCATGCCATCTGCTACTTATTGCAGCATTAAAGATACAAGAAGATAGCACTTAACTTAGCAAGTTTATTGTGCATCTGTATTCTACATATAGCATCTGTCGTCAGTGCCATATATGCTTTATCGTTTCCGTGATGCTAGTTTAGCTTTCAGAACTAGTATGTTCTAGGAAAGAAATCAAATTGTTTCAAGTGAATGCCTCTAGCTACATTAGAAAATCATTTACTTTCACACCTTTCATTTCTCCACTTTGAAAAGCAAGGAGTGAATTTGTGACTCTTAGGCTTTCTTGGGTAATTCCAGTTCTCAGCTGTCAATCAGCATTAAAGCCAAAAAATATCTCAGTTGTCAATGGAAGAATCATGCAGTTTTTGGACAGCCCCATAGGTCAGTCATAGCCCAGAGCTCTGTTTAGGCATTCCTGTTTGTGAGCGGGTGGGGTTGCAGATAGAGATGGAGGGAATCAGGCTGCACCCACTTTGCCTTATATGCACATAGGTACATAGGTCTAAACCACAGAGCCTAGGGCTTGCCGATCAGAAGGTCGGCAGTTCAAATCCCCGTGACGGGGTGAGCTCCCGTTGCTCGGTCCCTGCTCCTGCCAACCTAGCAGTTCAAAATCATGTCAAAGTGCAAGTAGATAAATAGGTACCGCTCCAGTGGGAAAGTAAACGGCGTTTCTGTGCGCTGCTCTGGTTCGCCAGAAGCGGCTTAGTCATGCTGGCCACATGACCCAGAAACTGTATGCCGGCTCCCTTGGCCAATAAAGCGAGATGAGCACCGCAACCCCAGAATTGTCTGGAACTGGATCTAACAGTCAGGGGTCCCTTTACCTTTACATCAATATACCCAGTGCACATACCCAACTATGCATAGGCTCTCATTATTTATCCTATTTAAAAAATGAAGGCTGCAGATCAAGCATAGGAGTCAACAGGTGCTTGGTTGTCTATGTGCACAATGCACCCAGAACCCACCCTTAAAAAACATTGATGTCAAGGGCATGACCACTGGGCATAAGCTAGTGTGCACCTGTGCTTTGTATACATGTGAGGGCTCATGTGATTTGCATGTATTAAGGTAGCTTCTACATGGTAACTAAATCAGGTAGAAAGGCTGTGAAAGACTTGTGCTCAATGGTGGTTCTCATAGTCACCTGAATTTTTTTCCCTAAGCATAACAATTTCTTTTTCCTTCATTTGGAATGCCTGCCCCAGATTTATTTTATTTATTTTTTTAAAGCTGAACAACATTAATTAAGAATAAATGAATGATAGGATGTAGAACACAGCTATAGGCATCTTTATTTGCTCTCATTTTCATCAAGAGTCTCTCACACAAAGGTTAGCAACTCCCCTTTATTCCTTTTTATTTTGTAAAAGGGTAAATGTAGTTAACTGGGGGAAATCACACACCAGGGCCCACTGCTTTACTCCTTCAAATCGGGCCACTTCTTTTGCCCGTCTTGCCGTTGACTATGGAAACCAAGGAATCCAGCTTTTGCTGCCAAAAGTTTAGACTGACTCTATAAAAAGGTTCCGTCTTGCCAAATTAAGAGAACACAAAGGCCTGTACTGGTTCACATGGAAGCAGGTAGGTGCCACAGATTCTATGCCGATAAGCACAGCAGATAAGCTGTTGTTTGCAACTAGTTGCCAGGCTTTCAAAAAACAGGAGACAGGACTAATAGGGATGGAATTTTCTGGTGCCTTGCTTATCAATATCCTTGATCTTAATGAGAAGCAATTTTTTAAAGAACCAATTTCTCAAAAAATACAAACAACTCTAGTATATTATATGTACTACTATACATATAATATTATATATATATTATATGCATGTACTACTCCAGTTTTCCTAAGGTAACCAGCACATAAATAAATGTAACAAGTATAAAAATACTTACAGAGCAATACTTATACACCCATGTTGCAGCAATACACAACCAAATGGACTTGCCTCTTGTGTATGTATAATACATATAATAGACAAATGTTTAGTGTAGAATTTTGCACAGAATTAGTCATGTGCTTTTTAAAAAGGGGGGCAATCCACAAGGGGTTCAGACACAAGCAGGGACATAGTGAAAGATGGAGTTTGATGTGGAAAAGGTCAGTTCCGTTGTAATGGTCAAATTCTGTTTAAACTCTTCTTCAACCCTATAATAATAATACCCTTTTTTTGCTCAATTATTCAGCAAGCATTCCATATTTTTTATGTTTCTTACTAGTTATGGTCAGTGTCTCTATATCTTTCTTTCAACCTTTTGTGGTTTCCTGCTTAAACCACAGCTTCTGAAACATACTACCTTTGTACTATTGGAGGGTGGCTGCTAATCTCTTTATTTTTATTAGCCTTTACCAGCATTATTCACAACCTGCGTGCAACGTATGATGGTCTGATGATATCGGCTTCATCTAACTCCAGGCAAATTCAAGCCACAGCAGGTATATCTCAAGATGAAGATAAATTACTTCAATGAACTTTGCTCCGAGGTATTTCTTTCTTTTCTTTTTCTTTTTTCTTTCACAGATCCTAGCTGGTTAGACAATGTTTGTTCCACTATACTTATGTAATTACAGCTATTGCTTGCAGATCCTACATATGTTCCTCTGTGTGTGCACTGTTTTCAAGCTCACATGCAATTCACATGCAATCGTGCCTCAAAGAGTGAACAGGCAATCCAGGTTGCAGAATGAGTTGCAGTAGGTGTGGCAAACAAGACTGTGGTGCTCCCTCTTTCCACAAAAACCCTTCCTACAAGTGAGGTTTGTTTTGGCCCAGGCATAGGCAAACTCGGCCCTCCAGATGTTTGGAGACTACAATTCCCACCATCCCTGACCACTGGTCCTGTTAGCTAGGGATCATGGGAGTTGTAGTCCGAAAACATCTGGAAGGCTGAGTTTGCCTATGCCTGTTTTGGCCCCTTGTTAGTTCTGCTTCCTTGCCTGTTTTCCCCAGCAACATGGTCAATCCTAGACTTAGGCTGTTTTTTAAATGAGGGGCTCCTAGTCCTACCTGATCATTGCTACATGTAGAATTGCAATTGGCTTTCTACCCTGTTGCATTCCCACCCCCCACCCCTATATGTACATCCTGCAATGTTCTGTCCACACCAGTAGGCATGGCATAGCTGCTGTGGGTGGGAACATTTGCAGCTCAGCAGACATTCACTATAATGTGGTGAGTGCCATTTTATCACAGTGTTTCTATTTTTGTTTTTGAATTTCTCTAAAACACTTTCCCTTGGTTGTTTAAATGAAAGAAAGATACAGCACTATAATGGTATAATGCTGTTGTGCTTTTATTTTCCAGCCAGAACTTGCCACAACTCAGTTCTGGCACCTCTCAGGTAGGTGCCATTGCCATTATAAGAGAACAAGGGGGTGTTCATGGTGAGTTCCAGCACTTCTTTTTCTAGAAAAATAGCTCTGGCTGTAACATTATGCTATAATAAGGCTATGACAGATTGATGTTATAAAACTGTTTCTCCTTGGTGTGTGTGTGTGTGTGTGTGTGTGTGTGTGTAAGATAGATAGATAGATAGATAGATAGATAGATAGATAGATAGACAGACAGCTATAGAGATATATATGGTAGATATAGAGTTGCTCTGCTGGGGCAATTAACACCATTTACCTTCTCCTCAGCCCTTTTTCTCCCCCTACTGCAGTTAATTGCTTGACTGCCCAACTGCTCTTTAAGTAGCAAAGCGTGTTCTCCCTAAAATGAGAGCACGGGTTGCGGTGTGGGCCGCCAGGCCAGCCCTCTGTTACCAGGCGGGTTAATGGCTATTTTCTGGTGCAACGATTGGCTGACCAGGTTGCTGGGGCAAATTGCATGTAGCAAATTGGTGGGTGGGACCATAGTCTTTAAATATTGGGACACTCTGCCTTTTGCTTTCTCTTTAGCAGAGTGCATCAGATCTTTAAGTAGCAAGTGCTTCTCCTTCTTTAAACGTTAGTTTCATTTTCCCCTCTCTGAGCTTCTCTGGGATGCTGCTTTATGCATTTCTGTTGCAAGAGCAAATTTGGGGCGTGACCGACAGGTGACTGTATGATTTTTTAAAAACCTAATAGTTGAAATGCATAATTGTCTCTCATTCCAGTGACTAACTTTCCAAGTGAGAGCCAGCCCTGTCACAGAGATGGGACATACATTTTCTCTTCACAGATTTCAGTAGCTTAAGAGGGGAGACACTGGAGATTGGATGACCGTAGGAATTTCCTTTATGGCCACTAGGTATTTATGTATACTGCACCAAGCATTTTTAATCATAGAATTATCCAGTATTTCAATATTCCCATTCATGTTCCCTGGGTAAAGTTGGCAACAGAGGAAAGGGGATGTTTGCAATGTATAATTTTTTCATAATAATGTGAAGGCATAGCAGACCCTTTTGTAGACCCACCAGGTTGAATCCCTGGCATCTTCCTGGAAAACTATTGCCAGTCAATGTTGGCAGTGCTGAACTAGATGGACCAATAAGCCCGACTCTGTGTAAGGCAGCTTCCTATGTTATTAGGACCTTGTTGGTTTTTAGACATCTTTTAAATATCTCTTTTGTTTCAATGGACTTTTAGTGTGCAATTTTAAATTTGATGCTTTTAAAGGTTTTCTCTCTGAGGCTTTGAAATGTTAAGATTTTATTTGACTTTTGTGCTGCTGTCAGATTGCATGTTTTGGTTTTAAATTCTTTTACTGTAGTTGTATCAATAGTGTATACAGTGGTACCTCGGGTTACATACGCTTCAGGTTACAGACTCCGCTAACCCAGAAATAGTGCTTTAGGTTAAGAACTTTGCTTCAGGATAAGAACAGAAATCGGGCTCCGGCAGCGCAGCGGCAGCAGGAGGCCCCATTAGCTAATTTGGTGCTTCAGGTTAAGAACAGTTTCAGCTTAAGAATGGACCTCCAGAACGAATTAAGTACTTAACCCGAGGTACCACTGTATATGCTTTTTAATTCTGCATGCCTCTTTGTTTAGTTTTTCAGAAGAGGAAGAAGGTGTGTCAACGCATATGAATTTAAGCTCGTGAAAACCACCATGATCCTGAAACTATATATTGAAAAGTAAGCATTACAATATTCTACGGAGGGATGTGAAAGTACAGCCAGGTGAGCTGCCTTTTCTGCTTGCAGTGCCAGGATAATAGTACCATTCTGTATTATTACACCATTACTGTTGGGAATATATTGTCCCTAGGGCACATGTGCCAGCAGTGCGCAGGCCTCAGGAGTGGACTGTAAATCATGTCACTTTCTTCTGAGAGCTCACAAGAGGTTCCTCCTTCCCACTCACTGCAAGTCTCACTGGAGCATCCTGTTCCTTAAGACCCTCTAGTGGCAGGTGCTTACAGACTTCCCTGTAACTGCAGCGACACGTCTCTGTCTAGAATGATCACCTTGGGGAACTGTCTCTCATTTACTTTATGAGATTATTCCTGTCATCTTTATTAGGGGAAGTGGTGAATCTCCTGTGTTAATTACATTTGGGTGCCCCCAGGGGCCTGGCTTCAGCGGGGACGGCTTTCTAAGGAATGTAGGAAGTTTAGAATTCACTCCATCCTTCATCAAAATCCTCCATCCTTCTGATCAGTTATCTTGCCGATTCTTGAACGCATTCGATCATCTTGTTAATTAATACCTCTACGGTGTGATATTCCACTGTCCCCCAGGACTGGGAAAGACCCTTTAGCTCACCTGTATGCTAGATGAGTTTGATCCAAGGTATGACAAGCTTCACCAAGCTGTGCTTCAGCTTACACAAGTTGAGGGATATGCCTCTTGCCTCCAGGTCAGAGCTCCTGGTCTTCACCCACAGTGTGACTGGCAGAAATCCAAAATGTGGAACGAGCTGAAGAAGAAGAAGCAGCAAGATTCATCTACCTTCAAAACTTTTGTTTCAATTGTCATTACTATTTTTTAGTGCAAGAGATATTTGGCTTGTTGGTTGTATATTCAAAAATACATAATAAAAATCAAGATGTTTAACATTTTATGGATGATGTTTATTACTTTGAGTTATAATGAATTAAAAACTAAGACTAGTGTCAGTCACAAAATGGCCACTGAGTACGACTGGACAAGTTACTGTAGTTATATGTAGTTCCTGTATTTACATGAAAACCAATAAAAAATATTGGGCAGGGGTGGGGACAAAATGGCCACTGTGAGGTGTGTGGTGTAGCACACAGTGTGTGCCATGGCGGGGTGTGTGTGGCATAGTACAAAATGAGAGAGAAGAGAGTCATCACTACTTGCTCCTATGCTTACCTCATGCTTACCATGGGAAGACTGTGGTATATCGTACTGGTCCTGTTTGTGGCATTTATACAATATTGATATTCTTCACATGCCTGCTGAATCCTCTTGTAGTCTAATAGCAAAAGGGGGCATTCCCCAGTACCAGGAAAATATACAAGGTGGCCAACTGCATTCTGTCTTGCACACGCTCACACATGCACACAGGTTTGTCTCTCTCCCTCTCACATACAAACTTCATATTTGCAAATATATGTCTCTCTCTCCTGGCCCCTGGTGCATCTTTCCCTCACTCTCACACAGATGCATACATGCCTCACGCCTCTCTAACACAAAAACACCACACATACAGTGGTACCTCAGGATACATATGCTTCAGGTTACAGACTCCGCTAACCCAGAAATATTACCTCGGGTTAAGAACTTTGCTTCAGGATGAGAACAGAAATCATGCTCCCGCGGCGCAGCAGCAGTAGGAGGCCCCATTAGCTAAAGTGGTGCTTCAGGTTAAGAACAGACCTCCAGAATGAATTAAGTTCTTAACCCGAGGTACCACTGTACATACATCCCTCTCTGTCCAAGTGCACGTTCCCCCTCCCTCACTGACCTAACATACATACAGCCTTTTCTCTCACATGCACAGAAAACATAGATCACTTCCTCCTTCCTTCACACACACCCTGCAAATACATCTCTCCTCTCTCACACAAATCCGCTCCACTTCCCAGTGGGGAGGAGTTGCGGTGGACCGCGTGGCCACACACTCCCCACCGGGGGCGGGGGACTTTGTCCCCCGTTGCCTGGGGGATCCCGGCCACGTCAGAGCCCGGCCAGCCAATCCACTGGCCGGGGCCGTTTAAATGGAGGAGTGAGCCAGAGGACTTCCTCTTTGGCTTGCTTCCTCAATCACCCGCCCTCCCTCATTATTTTGCAGGTTAGGCAATGGCCTTGCTATGGACTTCGGTTGGTCACCTTGGTTGTCCGGGGGCCTGGTAGGAATTTTTCCACTTGGCAAATTGGCACTGGCCACTTGGTTTTCGCCTACTTTGTAGCAATTGTCACAACTTTGTTAGGGTTGCGGTTAGGCATTGTTTGACCTTGTACGGGGGAGGGGAGGTGTGGCCATCACCTGCCCCTCCATGCTTAAGGGTATTCCGTTAAAGGAATCCGGGGGTGTTGATCTAGTCTGAAGCCCGGCTGGGGGCTAGGGCCTTGAAACGACCCCGACGGGAACACCAGGGGGAGCTTGAGTTCATTCCTCCTTCCTTCACGCACACCCTGCAAATACATCTCTCCTCTCTCACACAAATCACACATGCATAGTTTCTCTCTCTCTCTCTCTCTCTCACACACACACACACACACACACACACACAACTTGAGCTCACATCCCCATCCAGAATATTTCCTCCCTGGAGCAAAGGAGCCACCCACCACCAGCTCCACATTGCTGACAAACAATGGTAGCCTGAATGCACAGGGATACCTCTAGGGTTGCCATACTTCCCTGGGGAATCCCGCCTTTGAAATCCTGGTAATGTCTGGGAAGATCTGGACATATGGCAGCCCTACTCTTCCCTCCCTACTAACTTTTGGGGACAAAGCTATTTGCCTCTGGTGGCCTGAACGAAGGAGTTGGTATTCTGTTCTGGAGCATCCCACTAGAAAAACCCCCACACATTTGCCATTTACTATCATTGTTAATTTGCTTTTGGGTATTCAGAACACTTCCCGTGTTATAATTGCAGTATCATCTGAGGCTGGGATCCATGGATACAAGACAGAAATGGCAGATGAAAAGGGGGAGGGGAGTCTTATTTTGTTATATATTGGAATAACAGCATTTTAAAAGTTCATCTGGTTTTAACTTGATGCAAAAATGACCAATCCCAGAGGCCTTTTAATTTTTACTACTTTTCAGAAACTGTGATAAAGGAGGTGGCTTCCCAAATTTGGGGTGAAAGCTTATCAGCTGTTGGGTTTCATGACTTCAGTCTTGGTTATTCTCAAGCATCACTCTGAAGATTCGTGATGGAACTAGGAATAAAATCCAGACCTTCGTGTATCATTCAGTCTCCCATGTCTGCTGAAATGGAAAAAGAAATGGCAATATGCTCCTTCCCACAAGGGGATGCATTTCCCCCGAATACACTTAAGACAAGATGGCTCGCCTGGTGCCTTTGTTAATAGTGTTGCCAAATTTCAAAAAGTAAAATTCCTCCCCCCAATATGGTGATTTTAAGCCATACACCCAGGTTTTCCCTGACATTTTGCCGATTCGGCATTTTTGCCCTCGTCATTTTTATACCCAAACGCCAGGACATGTCAGGAATATGGCAAGCTTATTGTTACATATCTTTAGGCACCAGGCAAAAACATTTATTTTCCCCAGGCCTATGGCTTTCCAAACTGGGTGTGTTTTTGTTTGTTATTATGGTATGCATTTTAGTGCTTTTATATTGTAAACCATCCTGCAATCGTTGGATGAAGGGCGGTATAGAAATGTAATAAATAATAATAAATAATATTAATAAGACAACTCTGGGCAGTGCATGGCAGGATCCCTTTGTTGTTTCTCTGTGAAAAATCCTAGCAGAGTAATTTGCAATACAACAGTACTGCAATGCAACAGAATCCTGTGGTGCAATTTTTTGCACCCAGCTATTTAGGCGTTGCTTTGTTCCATCTGCCTTTTAGGACACTGGTGACGAGAGTAATGAATAGCGTGAGCCACTTGGTTATTAGCTCTCCCTCCCTCCTCCCTTCTGCCTTTCATTATGGTAACTTTACATGCACTTTTAATTTGTGTGCAGACAGGTACAAAAGCATAACCGGATATACCTGTTATTTGCCAATGACCTGAGAGAGTTTAGTTTATGTTAAGCCTGGGGTTATGTCAGAGTTTGCACGCAATTCCCCAATAGATTTGCTGCAGGCAATTAGTGGATAGTGGTGTTGGAAGGGGGAGGAAGGCTTTAAAGTGACAGAACTTTATTTCATTCTCCTTTAGTCTTTTCAAGCACGCAACCAACTTACTTTTATTCCGCACGCAGGCAAAGTTACACAGTCTGCTCAGGAAAAGATATGTATAATTTAAACCATACTAAGTTAGGAAAGAATTTGTTGCAATTTGTTAACAATCCCTGCAGCAGCTAACCTTGTGAGTGCTTTTCTTTCTCTCTCTCTCTCTCTCTCTCTCTTTTTTAAAAAAATGACTGTTGTAAAAGCCAGGCTCCTAATAGCTCAGAGACTATGGGATGGCAACTGTGCTGTGCTTTGTTAATGCAGGATCATGTGTTGCTTTGTCCATGTGATTTGGTCAGGCACACAATCTTAAAGCACAGTTCTGTGTGTGTTTTACTCAGAAATAAATCTCACAGAGGTCAGTTTTACTTCTCACACTGGACGTGTGCAGCCTCTACAATGAATTTCAGGAAATCCTGCTCAAGGATGAAAAAAATGTGTAACTCAAATGCATGCAGAGCATGTTGATTCAAATATACTTTATTTATATCACTTGTCTTCTGGCACACCAAATTGTGAATGACTTTGAAAAAAGAGAACATGAGATAAATTATGTTCAAATATAAATTCTGTTTCTGATGCTATCAAATATTTGTGACGGTAACAAAATTTGGGTGGGACAGTTTATTCCATAGGTAGGCAAACTAAGGCCCAGGGGCCGGATCTGGCCCAATCGCCTTCTAAATCCAGCCCACGGACAGTCCGGGCATCAGCGTGTTTTTACATGAGTAGAATGTGTCCTTTTATTTAAAATGCTTCTCTGGGTTATTTGTGGGGCATAGGAATTTGTTCATATTTTTTTTTTCAAAATACAGTCCGGCCCCCCACAAGGTCTGAAGGACAGTGGACTGGCCCCCTGCTGAAAAGGTTTGCTGACCCCTGGTTTATCCATTAGTTCTTCTGTGAGACTCAGTCGGAAATAGATAGTGGCTAAGGAAGGGATAATAAAGGGTAGCAGTTAGATCTAATAATTTTCCTGTTAGTCACGACCAAAGTTAATTCATTAGTGAAGGAGAGGTACAGAAAAGTTAGTACAGCATCGGGATCTTTTCTTTGTGGCCATTGTTGATTGTCAGTCTCAAAGGCGGACCAAAGGAAAGTCTGGCAAAGGAAAGCTTCACCAACAGGAAAATGCTCTCAGTCTATAGAACCAGCCAATCAGCCCTGAGCATAATACTTCAGCAGGAAACAAGGAGAAATAGTTCTACCTAAGTCTGATCCAGGCCAGAAGATGGTACATGTGCTCAAAATGTGTTAAGTGCACTTCCACAGCAGGATCATCACTAGAATTATTATGGATGTTTGGACTTACCACTGTCTGGCACTGTACATGGAACTAACCTTGATGCCTGTTTGCAAGTTGTATCTTAGCCTATCAGCTGTTGAGTGTGGGCCTCTATGACCATACTCTACAACTATATTGATTGCATTGTCAAGTCTTGGCACAATTCAAGGTGCCGGTGATTCCCCTTTCAACTCTTATATGGTCTGCGTCCAGCATATCTTGGAAAACTCCTGACCTGAAACCATGGTAGCACTTTCTCTAGAACCACAAACTATTTGCAGTGTGATTCTTTCTGAGCTTCCCTGTGCGATTTCAGACAGGCAGATGAAGCAAACCAGCTAGCCTTGAGATGGTTGAGAATTGTCTCAACATGGATGCCTGTGTCTACATATTTAGAGAGATGGGATGTAATCGTCATCAAGGAGGTGGAACTTGAACTGTGTGAGCACAACAACCTGCTCTGAACCTACTATTCACCAAGACAAGCATGGCACAGGCGTCGCTGCCATGGGCAGTGCATTCCTTGGAGGCCTGATCTGCTATCCCTGTTGCCTGAGGCAGTCCCTCACCTTGCCTCATGGGTAGGCTGACCCTAGAAGCACACAATCTGCAGATACGCTCTCCTGCAGAAGCCGCCTTCGCCTCAGTCTGCACCGAATGCAGAAGTGAGGAAGTTTGGGAAATGTCAAAATGTACCCTGAGGGAAGATGGGGCTTGTAACAAAATAAAGCCCAAATATAATAAGGACGGGCACAAAGTATATTTTACAGCTGAACTGTAAAACAAAATGCATATTGAAAGAGCTTTGTGAATTGGATACACTTGAACTGGATACACTTCCTCTTTCTAAACCCCATAAATCTCACGAACATTTCATAAACCAAATGAAATGTTGTATGAGGTCCATTTTTATGAAAAGCGACCAGCTATTTTCTGTCTCTTCCACAGGGTTCTAAGCAGAAATGGACAGCGGAGGCCTGTCTGTTATGCAAATGGAGGGCTGCCCCACCAACCTCAATCAGCCTCCAATGGCCTCTCTTCTTACTTACATCCAGTTATGGGGATGGCACTGACTATCAGCTTTCTCCGCCTTAGGGTCAGTGTTGCCCCTGTAGAACTCAGTAGGGAGGATGGGGATGGGGACAAAACTAGAATGAGTTGTCTCTGCCTCTATGTACTGTTGGCCTCTCTTCTTTCTTCCCTACCAGTCTCAACAGGCACCAGCCACTACTGAAAACGGACCATCCACATCCTTAGGGCTTTCCCCCTACAATAACCTCTGCCACCACACACAGAAAAGAGTGACAGCTGTCACAGCAGGACGAGCAACTGTTTGCTGTCATTAAAAATAAATAAATCAAAGCATGTGGGTTTCAGTAATGAGGACTGGGAGCACACAGTGTTCAAAGAATCAAATTTTTTAAAGCACAGTCAAGGAAATAATAAGTCCCCCAGAGCACAATATTTATCAGGAAGCTTAGTTTGGTCAGAATTGAGTATACTGTTGAAACAACACTAAATACATTACATATGGCAAATGAGCCACCATAGCCACTAGAGGGCCATGAAAATTTGTGTTCCAGGCTTTTTAGACTCGTCTAGCCACGTAGTATCTGAAACCCAAGGGGCACCTTGGTTGCCAGATGTAAGGTTTTTCCCCCCAGCTCTCCTACCACACTATTAGAGAGTAATACATTTCTGAAAAACAAATAAATGACAAAATTATAACCAACAGAATGCCTTTTTTGAGTGACTAGCTGAATGTGCTAGTCTCTGCATCTTAAAAAGCAGAGACATCACCTTGCCAACAAAGGTCCGTATAGTTAAAGCTATGGTTTTCCCAGTAGTGATGTATGGAAGTGAGAGCTGGACCATAGAATCATAGAATCATAGAATCATAGAGTTGGAAGAGACCACAAGGGCCATCGAGTCCAACCCCCTGCCAAGCAGGAAACACCATCAGAGCACTCCTGACATATGGTTGTCAAGCCTCTGCTTAAAGACCTCCAAAGAAGGAGACTCCACCACACTCCTTGGCAGCAAATTCCACTGTCGAACAGCTCTTACTGTCAGGAAGTTCTTCCTAATGTTTAGGTGGAATCTTCTTTCTTGTAGTTTGGATCCATTGCTCCGTCTCCACTTCTCTGGAGCAGCAGAAAACAACCTTTCTCCCTCCTCTATGTGACATCCTTTTATATATTTGAACATGGCTATCATATCACCCCTTAACCTCCTCTTCTCCAGGCTAAACATGCCCAGCTCCCTTAGCCGTTCCTCATAAGGCATCGTTTCCAGGCCTTTGACCATTTTGGTTGCCCTCCTCTGGACATGTTCCAGTTTGTCAGTGTCCTTCTTGAACTGTGGTGCCCAGAACTGGACACAGTACTCCAGGTGAGGTCTGACCAGAGCAGAATACAGTGGCACTATTACTTCCCTTGATCTAGATGCTATACTCCTATTGATGAGGCCCAGAATTGCATTGGCTTTTTTAGCTGCCGCGTCACACTGTTGGCTCATGTCAAGTTTGTGGTCAACCAAGACTCCTAGATCCTTTTCACATGTACTGCTCTCAAGCCAGGTGTCACCCATCTTGTATTTGTGCCTCTCATTTTTTTGCCCAAGTGCAATACTTTACATTTCTCCCTGTTAAAATTCATCTTGTTTGTTTTGGCCCAGTTCTCTAATCTGTCAAGGTCGTTTTGAAGTGTGATCCTGTCCTCTGGGGTGTTAGCCACCCCTCCCAGTTGGGTGTCATCTGCAAATTTGATCAGGATGCCCTTGAGACCATCATCCAAGTCGTTGATAAAGATGTTGAATAAGACCGGGCCCAAGACAGAACCTTGTGGCACCCCACTAGTCACTCTTCTCCAGGATGAAGAGGAACCATTGATGAGCACCCTTTGGGTTCGGTCAGTCAGCCGAAGGCTGATCAATGAAGAATTGATGCTTTTGAATTATGGTGTTGGAGGAGACTCTTGAGAGTCCCATGGACTGCAAGAAGATCAAACGTATCCATTCTTAAGGAAATCAGCCCTGAGTGCTCACTGGAAGGACAGATCCTGAAGCTGAGGCTCCAATACTTTGGCCACCTCATGAGAAGAGAAGACTCCCTGGAAAAGACCCTGATGCTGGGAAAGATGGAGGGCACAAGGAGAAGGGGACGACAGAGGACGAGATGGTTGGACAGTGTTCTCGAAGCTACCAACATGAGTCTGACCAAACTGCAGGAGGCAGTGGAAGACAGGAGTGCCTGGCGTGCTCTGGTCCATGGGGTCACGAAGAGTTGGACACGACTAAACAACTAAACAACAACAACAACAAGCTGAATGGTTTTCTCCATTCAGTATCTAACTTATCAAATCTAGGACTGGGGATGATTTTTTTGCACGGTTGAGATTCATTATGGAACCCATGAATTCTGTTTTTGTCTTCCTCTATGGGCCAATGGTTTGCAGTGGTTTGCAGACATGCTGATGTGGACTTCATTTGCTAGACTTGTACATGGTGGCCTGGATCAAATGGGAAGGGGCCATAGCTCCATGGCAGAGCATCTGCCTTGCAAGCAGAAGGTCCAAAGTTCAATCCTGGGCATCTCCAGGTAGGGCTGAGAGACTCCTGCCTGAAAGCTTAAAAAGCTGCTGTCAGTCAGTACAGACAACACTAGCCTTGAGGCACCAGTGGTCTGACTCTGCATAAGCCAACTTCCTATGTTTCAGTGTTCCAATGTGTTTAAAAATCTGCAGTCTGTAGCCAACAATACCTAGCAACTGATCTTTTTGGCTCTAAATCCAGCACATCATTTAACCCCCCACAGTGTGGTCTTCAAAACCCTTTGTCTTTCAGGTCTCATCTTTTCGGATAAAATGAAGAGGGAGAGAACCATGTACGCTGCCTTGAGCTCCCTGGAAAAAACGGTGGGATATAAATGCAGCAAATAATAAATATCAACGTGTGAAGGGATTCATGGACCCCAGATAGAGAGATGCATGAGGCAACAAACCATGTGGTCTTGTGTGGCAAGCAAGGGTGCCAACTTGAATAAAATATTGGGGAGGGGGCAGGTAAGACCCGCTCCACATAATCAATCACATGACGTGGCACACACGCACGATTTGAATGGGATTTCCCTTCAACTTTGGGGTGGGGCTAGCCCCCTGAACTATTTTATTGATGGGTGGGCTGAGGGGACCTCAGCTCCTAGGATTCAGCTACCATTTCAGAGGTAGCATTCTGGCCATGCCATGCCATGCCCAAGTGGTCAAAGATCTGAGTGTAGCTTCAAAAAGAGATTTGGCATCAAAACACGCCCCCCGCGCTATCCTCTAATTTCACCCGCTGATACCCGGGGGGGGGGGTGGCTGGCTGAAGCTGGCAAGTCCTCACACACCTTGCAAAGCCAGCCTGGGAAACAGAAGCCTCTGTAAGAACTCGAGGGAGGGAGCGAGGGAAGTACCGGGCTGAGCTCCGTCCTGGGAAAGCAGCGCGGGGGGCCCTTTGGCCCGGCGCTCTCCCCCGTCTCCGTTTCCCTGCGGATCTCGCGTGCGCGCCCGGGGAGGGGAGGAGATGGCCAGAGGCTTCCCATCAGCCGCAGATCACGCCAGGCGGACTCCGCACGCAACGGGGAGGTGACACACGCCGAGGGTAGGAAACTTCTCCAGCCTCCGGGGGCAGAGGAGGGCTTTCCCCTACCTCCAGCTCCGCGAGAAGCTTGGGGGGCTGCTTTTTTGCACGGCACTTGCGAGCTCCACTTTCCTCGCGGGGCCCGGAGGGAGGAAGAAGAGGAGACGGCTCGCCAGGTCTCTCGTCGAGGGAGCAAGAGAGTTGCCTGGGCTTCCCCTCGTCGCAAGGCGCTGCTCCTCCCGAAGCAGCCCGAGGCGGAGCTGGTGGGCGGCAGCGGCAAGCGCGGCCGGGATCGGGGGCCGAGGCTGGCGCTGATTGGCCGGCGCGAAGGACCTGCTGCCCAGAGCCGAGGAGCGACCGGGATCTTTTCGAAACGGCTCGCTCGTCCTCCCCCAAGCAGGGGCTGCTGTGTGCGTGCGGAGCTCGAGTCTTGGCCGGAGGCAGGATGAGCCAGAGAGATGTGGCAGAAGCTTTGGTGAACAGGTGAGTCCCCGATCCTGCGAACATTCAATTCCCCCCACCCTGTCCCGTCCTTTTTAATATGGGGTGGCTTGTGCGAGGAAACGGCCAGTCGTGCCTTTTTGAGGCAATGGATCCTCCTGGGGTGGGGTGCCCCTCCAACATATACTTCCCTTAAGGGCGTTTACCCAAATAGCTGCTTTGAGTCTCACCCCAATAAGTTCGTTTGCTTAGGTCCCCAAATCTTTGGGTGACAACCTGGGGTGCTTTAAAGAGGTGTAGCTGCCTTAGCTTGTGGCAGCAAAAACTGCAAAGACTTCTGCGACACATGCAAATACAGTGGTACCTCAGGTTACAGATGCTTCAGGTTACAGACTCCGCTAACCCAGAAATAGTACCTCAGGTTAAGAACTTTGCTTCAGGATAAGAACAGAAATCACGCAGTGGCAGCGTGGCAGGCCCCATTAGCTAAAGTGGTGCTTCAGGTTAAGAACAGTTTGAGGTTAAGAATGGACCTCCAGAACGAATTAAGTTCTTAACCCGAGGTACCACTGTACATAGCAGCCACCTCCTAGGGGCCAGGGGCTTCGACCCCCCCATAAAATATTTGAGGGGCTGCCCCCCCCCCGAGTTAATGGGCATTGCCATTCAAATTGTGTGCATGCAGTGCGTCATGTGATTATGTGTGATGGGCTTACCTAGCCCCTCCCCAACATTTTATTCAAGTGAATGCATCTATTATAGCATCAGCTTCCATGGACTAGAGGTCTCAGATGCAGATGTTGCCCTAAGTTGGCAAGCATAGGTGGAGAAGAGTCCTTGGCTCTCATTTGCCCCCTGCTGTTAGATCCCTTCCACCCGCAGTAGGATAAAGGATCTTGCAGCATCATTTGTAAGTGCAAATGCTGACTTGTTTCCATCTTCTTGTTTCCATCTTCAACCCACCTTCTGCACACATGCTGAGGGTAAGGAATGGGAAGGCCACTCCCCTGCCCACAATTCTGGAGTACAGATTTGTGTGGGTAAAAAGTGGTTTAAAAAACCATGGCCGTGGATACAAGTCCAGAACCCAAGATTCTGAAAGTTTCTAAAAGTGGCTTTCTAAGGCTACTGGTTTGAGTGTGGCCAATCTACAGCATAAAGGTGACAGCCAACTAAGTCACACTCAGGAGTAGATCCACTGAAATCAAGGGCTCTACTGATTCAGAGTATGAAGAACATTGGGTATCGCCTTAAGATCTCACACCTCCACTTTCCATTCTTGATAGTCTCATTGAGCTGTGATTCTGGGGCTACCCCCAACTATTTGTCTACCCCAGTCCTATCAATGGTAAATTGCACTGACTTGATTTCTGCATATTGGTCGCAATCCTACAATCAATCAATCATAAATCACTTGTCCCATTGCCTTTGGTGGGTCTTGAGGCTGAAACCTATACACATTTACCTGGAAGTAAACCTTACTGAAACGGACACTGGTGGCGCTGTGGGTTAAACCACAGAGCCTAGGACTTGCCGATCAGAAGGTCGGCGGTTCGAATCCCAGCGACAGGGTGAGCTCCCATTGCTCAGTCCCTGCTCCTGCCAACCTAGCAGTTCGAAAGCACATCAAAGTGCAAGTAGAGAAATAGGTACCGCTCCGGCAGGAAGGTAAACGGTGTTTCCGTGTTCTGCTTTGGTTTGCCAGAAGCGGCTTAGTCATGCTGGCCACATGACCCGGAAGCTGTCTGCGGACAAACGCCGGCTCCCTCGGCCAATAAAGCGAGATGAGCGCCGCAACCCCAGAGTCGGTCACGACTGGACCTAATGGTCAGGGGTCCCTTTACCACTTACAACAAAACAAATAGTGAACTGGGTAACTGCTATGTGTTTAGCATCAGGATATACAACTGCAACCTTAAGGTTAGCTTGTAATCTTAAGTTTCCACACAAGTTCCAGTGAAATCAGTGGACTTTGTTTCAAGTAAGGATGTGATGCTCTGCACTTACTTGGGAGTATAGTATATCCTATTGAAACTAGTGAGACCAAAAGCTAAGTATCATTTTGAAAAGCTGCAATCCCTTTTTTTATTTGGGCAAGCAATTAATGGTCAGGAGAAGAGGGTTGTTGTAATGTACCAGTACGAAAGCAATTCATGGCTCTGCTTGAATTCAGTCTAACTTATTGTGCAGAACACCTTACTTTTGAAGTGATGTGATGGATGCTGTTTAAGTATTGCAAGTTTTCTTACTTCACTGCTAGGTTCCTGCCTGAAACAGTGCATAGATATGCACAAATATGATGAATTCCCACATAACATTTCAAAGTGCAAATTTTCATGGAGTGTTCATGCCTTTTTTCTGGCAGGACTCTGGGAAGCTTTCCAAAAGCACAAACCAAAGATGAAGTTTAGAGCAGGGTGGATGGAAATTGATGGTCTTTATTTTTAAAATATGTTTTTAAAATTTGTAATTTTAAGGAAACTGGTTCTTTTATTTGTTTACTCTTTGTTTACTCTTTAGCGATATTACATATCGTATTTTAAAAAAACACAACTTGGTTTAAACTAAAGCCTGTACTTAATGCAAGCATGCATTCAACAATCCCCTCACATACACTGAATTAAAGCCTGCTTTTCCAACATGGAGGGAAAAACCATGGAAATCATGAATGTGTTATTATACTTGATTATGAACGTTCCTGATTCTGCAATAAACTTCCCAACTTATGCAAAAACAAGTTCCCCCAGAAATTACCACACTTGCTTTTGAAAAGTACTAGATGCTTACAGCTAAAGCTTACTCAAAATTCACTCCAAAAATAGCATTTTTGCTATATACACTTAGAAAAGTGTACACACTCTATACTGGAGTATAGCCCTTGTTTTCAATATTTGGTTCACAGTGCAACCCTGTACTTGCTTATTTGGACTTAAATCTTCTTGTTTCCTGGGGTTTACTCCTTAGCAAGTGCGTTTAAGGGCACGATCAACATTAGAGTTAAGAGCCTTGATAGCAAAAAGGCTTTATGAGTTACAAACCAATACACTTGTTACCGCAGCCAATTAACATACACTTCCGTTGAGAAAACACAGAGACGGTTTAAGTCAGTGTATTTACTCTTCAGACACACACGCACATGCTGCCTAAAATTAACCTGCCCGGGCTCCAAGTATTATTACCGAGTATGTAGGGCAGGCTGCGAACGCTGGATGCCGAGTGTCTATAGCAGGCTTGCAAGTTTGAGGGCCCTCCATTTGGTGGGTGGGGATCCCTTTCCACACAAAGGAAACTGCACGTGCAGGAAGTTTTGGTACATAACAGTTTTTCCCTCTTTTTCAATGGCGCCGCATTTAAAACTGCACCTGCGGCCTGACGCGCGGATGGCGGGGGCGCTTCCCAGCCGCAGGCTCCGCTGCCCGTCTCTGTCTCTGCTTGTAACCCTCCGCCCTTTTCTCCGCAGCGTGCGCCCCCGCGCCTTGGAAGAGGTGCTCCCGGCCGGCGTGCCCCCGGTGCAGGGCTTGCTGCTGCTGCTGCTCTCGCTGCTGGCCGCCTTCCACGCGGCCAGGCTCCTGCTGCAAGAGCGGCGGCGGCGGCGGAGGCTGGAGCCGCCGGGCCCCTTCCCGTGGCCGCTGCTGGGCAACGCGGCTCAGCTGGGCAGCGCCCCTCACCTGGCCTTCGGGCGCCTGGCGGCCACCTACGGCCACGTCTTCCAGCTGCGCCTGGGCGGCTGGCCCGTGGTGGTGCTGAGCGGCGAGCGCGCCATCCGCGAGGCGCTCATCCGCCAGGGGGCCGCCTTCGCGGGCCGCCCGCCTTTCCCCTCCTTCCAGCTGGTGTCGGGCGGGCGCAGCTTGGCCTTCGGCGGCTACTCGGAGCTGTGGAAGCTGCAGCGGCGCCTGGCGCACTCGACGGTGCGCGCTTTCTCGGCGCGCCGCCTGCTGGAGCGGCCCCTGGTGGCCGAGGCGCGCGCCGTGGTGCGGCTGCTGGTGCGCGCCTGCGCCGGCGGCGCCTTCGTCGACCCGTCGAGGAGCCTGGTGGTGGCCGTGGCCAACGTCATGAGCGCGCTGTGCTTCGGGCGCCGCTACAGCCACGCCGACGCCGAGTTCCGGCGCCTGGTGGGCCGCAACGAGCAGTTCGGGCGCACGGTGGGCGCCGGCAGCTTGGTGGACGTGCTGCCCTGGCTGCAGCGCTTCCCCAACCCGGTGCGCTCCGCTTTCCGCGCCTTCCGCTCCCTCAACCACGAGTTCTACAGCTTCGTGCGCCAAAAGTTCGTGCAGCACCAGAGCAGCCTCCGCCCGGGCGCCGCCCTCCGCGACCTCATGGACGCCTTCCTCCGCCTCCAGCAGGCGCAGCCCGCGCTGCCCTTGGAGCACGTGCCCGCCACCGTCACCGACATCTTCGGCGCCAGCCAGGACACGCTCTCGACCGCCCTGCAGTGGCTCTTGATCTTCCTCATCAGGTGAGCTGCTGGGCCGCGGGGTGGGGTGGGGGGCTCGGAGGAGACCGAGGCAAAAGCGCCACTTGACCCTCGGAGAAGCTCAGGTGGCGGAACTGGGGAAGGTCCGGACCCGAAGAGGAGCTGATCTCCGCCGAGAGTTGGTGAGAAAGCATTGTTTTCAACCCGAGGGCCACATTCCCCACTGGGCAATCTTCCGAGGGCCGCATGAGCGGGTAGGGAGGGATGAGGCTAAAATGGGGGCAGAGCAAGGAATGGGAATTCTAACTTCATACATTGTTAGGCCAGTTTCTACATACACTTGCGCGCGCACACACACGCCCAATCCAGGTGAGCAAAAGGCTTTATGGATTGGAGTGCCAGAACCCGTTCCAGGCACGCACAAACTCAAGGAGAGTGCAAAGCTGAAGGACAAAGAAGCCTGAAGGCCTATATTTGCTGCTTGAGCTGAGGTTCTCCAACCATGTAGAGAAAGCTGAATGTATCTTCCCATAAAGTTGAAGGTGATAGCTGAGGTGCACATGGCATCGATTTTGCCCATTCTTTTGTTGTTGTTGTTTAGTCGTTTAGTCGTGTCCGACTCTTCGTGACTCCATGGACCAGAGCACGCCAGGCACTTCTGTCTTCCACTGTCTCACGCAGTTTGGTCAGACTCATGTTTGTAGCTTCGAGAACACTGTCCAACCATCTCGTCCTCTGTCATCCCCTTCTCCTTGTGCCCTCCATCTTTCCCAACATCAGGGTCTTTTCCAGGGAGTCTTCTCTTCTCATGAGGTGGCCAAAGTATTGGAGCCTCAGCTTCAGGATCTGTCCTTCCAGTGAGCACTCAGGGCTAATTTCCTTAAGAATGGATGCGTTTGAAAAATCCATTCTTTGAAAAATCCAATTTCTCATTGAATTTGGCCTTGTGTGATTATCTGGGTCTTTTGGTTCTCCCATTCTATCCTTGGAAAATGAACGGCCACCAGATCCTGTTAGGAGTCACATTAGCCTAACAGAATATGGTACAGAACTCTTATTTTCCAGGGTTGTGCTTGAATTTCAGTTTGGTATCCTCCATTAAGATACAGTTGTTCTCCTTTAGAATGATGAAGCACCACCTTGCTGTATAGAATTTCAGTAAACTGAAAGTCGCTGCAAAATATATCTTCCCCCCCTTTAATTGGATGTTTCCTTTCATAATGTGACATACAAGAACAGGTCATATGGCAAAAAATAGTGGTTCATCAGCCCCTTTTCCAAACCATTGCTCAGCCCTCTTACGTCAACCCAATGCTCATGTCAAGGGCTCCTAGTTTAACCTAGCTGCTCAAAACAATTTGTGTGTTTGCAGGATAACAAAACAAAACCAATTTGGATCCTACCCTGAGGCCAAAATGTGTAATGCACTAAATAGATTTCCATGTACAGATTAGCCCAGTATTGGGTATTAGCTATTGATATGAAGCCATTGAGTCAATTATTATCTCTTTTGGACACTAGTATATTCATTGGGAGAAAAGAAAGATGTTGATAGTTGAACGTTTTTAGATAGAATGCAAGTCCTCAAAGTTTCGGAATATATATTATTTTTGGATTCATTGTTTAACAATCCAAGAAGTAAAAGCTGAAATATGAGATTAAACATCTCAAGGCTCTGGTGGGTTAACTGCGAAAATTTGCAAACAGTTTGCAAGCATATTAACACAAAAACCAGTTCAGTAATTAACACTCACACAATCCTTTCCCCTACCTGGAACGAGGCATAGATTGTTCTATTAAGAGCAAGTAAAGAAACAACATAGATTTTTACTTCAGTTTTGGCAGACAGGCTTTTGTACTGTTGTGAGAAGTTATATAAAAACAGACCAAACAGGAATTTGTAAGGGGAAGAAATTAGTCTCTTCACATTCATAGAGCCGATATGGGTGCTATCCAGTTGCCTGTCCTGCTTGTGTTAATGGAACTTCCCTTCCTCACCTTGACCTGAAAACTGCTTGGGAGGTTGGGGACCCACTGGAGCAGACTGAGGGCATGAGAGGCTGCTGAGGGTACATTGCAGGGGGGACCTGGAGGCACAAGAGGTGGTCACACTTCCATCCCACCTGCCACCTCCCCACATTTTACCAGTGGACATGAATTGGTTTGGGACATACATTTGCCCAGGTAACATTTTCTTTCAGAAGAGTTGAGTGAAAATTTCCCAAATGTGTTGTTGTTTTTCAAACCAGGTACCCAGAGGTACAGGCTAAGCTGCAAGAAGAGATTGATAAAGTTGTCGGCAGGGACCGCTTGCCTTCTGCTGAGGACCAGCCCCACTTGCCTTACGTCATGGCCTTCCTTTACGAATCCATGCGTTTCAGCAGCTTTGTGCCAGTTACCATTCCCCACTCCACTGTGGCTGACACCACCTTAATGGGCTACCGCATCCCCAAAGACACCGTGGTCTTTGTCAACCAGTGGTCAGTAAATCACGACCCGGTGAAATGGCCTTCCCCAGAGGAGTTTAACCCATTGAGATTCCTGGATGAGAATGGATTCCTTAACAAAGATCTCACCAGCAGTGTGATGATTTTTTCATTGGGCAAACGTCGGTGCATTGGGGAAGAGTTATCTAAAGTGCAGCTCTTCCTCTTTATTGCCATATTCCTACACCAGTGCAATTTCAGTGCTAATCCAAAGGAAGACACGAAAATGGATTTCACCTATGGCTTGACTATTAAACCCAAGCCGTTTGAACTCAACGTCACACTTCGAGATAACATGGATTTGCTGGATAGCACCGTACAGAGACTTCAGGCAGAAAAGGATTCTGAAAATTGCCTCCCAGATATGTAAACGTTGAAGTTTGAACACTGTTTGTAGTCCTCTTATAAGGATCATTTGCCTTTGCCTTTTTATATTTAAATGAAACGCATTTAAATATAATGTATTCTGGAGAGGTAGTAGCATGAAAATGAAGTAAAACAATGCATTATTTTTCAAATACGGATTTGGTTTTAACCATTGGTATTTCATTACCTCTGCATTTCTTGCCAGGCAGAAGCAAAAAGGGCATTCTCCAAAGTTGTTTTAAAAAATCTGAAGTTCTTTTCACAGTAGTGTTTAGTTTGGGATTGCCATGCTTCGTTTACTCATTTTTTTTTATGGAGCATCCACATGATGGTGCCATCCAATCATTGTCATCCCATCCTATATTTTCCTGCAGTTCTTCAGTCTTTTCTCAGACCGCAGGAAGTCTGACTTTGCAGAAGACGACCTCTAGACCAGTGGAGATAGTGCTGCTCTTCCGTCACTTTAGAAAGAGCAGGATTTTGACACGACCAGTTTGACGTATGATGCAGTTGAATCAACACAGCACAATTCACTACTGTTGCAGGCACCATTTTATCATACTGCTTACACAGTCTTTTTAATTAGCACATTTTAAATGCTTTACAAGGGTTTATGTCTATTGTTATTGTTTTTATTACATTGGTGAAATACCACTTCAGTGAAAGTGTGCAAGCACTATGATGCCAAAATTTAAAATATGATGGGGTGAAGTCCCTTTCTATCCCCAGCTATCTGGGCAACAATTTTTTTTATCCTTTTTAAATAAAAAATAAAAAATGGTGCTTTACCATCTGATACAGCTACTCCCTATACTGCCCAAGGTACAAGTTGGGATTGTAGCTGTGAATGACAATTGTATTTCAGTGCCTTGGTTATAAAATATCTCTCCATTGACATTCCAGATGTTTTTGTCTGAAGAGATTTTAAATATAAGCACAATTTCATTCTCAAATATTATTGACATTTTCTAAAGTAATCAGGCACTCATTATGCATTGCATCTGTTATAACAAATCTTGATTGAGGCAGTGATGTTAAAAGATGTTGAATAAATCGTCTGCTTACCTCAGACAATCACGCATAGGGATGTAAGGCAATGTTTTAAAGTAATATTTGGAAAATAATTGCATTTGACAACCTAGGTTTTATTGGTTGAGTGCTCTCATTGATATACATTCATAAATAGGGATGCTATTAATTTGGATAAATGCATATATATAAATAATATGGAAAGTGCTAATTAAGGTTGGTTCTGCATTTTAAAACAATTTGAATAAAAAACTGGAAGCACTCATGAATGCTGTTGAAGCCAAAAGGCTTCTTAATTAGTGTGTTTCCTTCCAGGATTGGACTTTGTTAAATCAGTTCTGGGCTTCTCACTCTAATTGAATGAAGTTCTGCTATGAGGGGTGGGGGACATGAGGTTTCACAGTTGCTCTTGGGTTCCCAACTTCCACCATCCATGATGGGCTGGGTCTGATGGGGAGTCCCAAACATCTGGGAGACCACAGGTTCCCCACCCAAGCTCTGCACCAATGAGTGACAAAAGGACTGAGGACCTCATCCATCTTCCATTTAAAATAAATAGAATTGCAGTTGCCTTCAATATAAATAGAGTTAATTCCTAATCTAGGGTTGTGGCAATTTGCCCCCCATCCCCGCCTCTTATATCCCCACTTAGGCTTTGAACTTGAATTGCTTTGAATAGGAAAACCTGTTTGGTCATTACCCTTCAAAATTGGGAGTTAAAGGTGTTGCAAACCAGACCCGAGTGCACTGGTCTCAATTTGTGTAGGCTCCTTTTTGAAATGTGATGCTCAGCGTACCGATGACATTCAAATGAGGGTGTGGGTCATCATGATCCCAATCCCCCACTATTAAAACCATATCTGCATAGGGATGTGATGGCTCATGAAATAATATTATGTTTTCCCCTCCATAGCTAAGGTCCTGTAAGCTTATGTCAATCATGTTAATTACTTGGGTGTCTCACCATCCAGCTGTCAGGAGCTAGACCAGGGACTAAATGGGTGGCTTTAATCTGAAAACAGAAGGAAAATCTGTAGTTGTGTTGCTTTTCTGGCAGTGCTTCCGAAACTTCTGATCCAAGCCCTGCTGAAACATTCACCTTTACCTCTGAAGCAATAGATTTGCAAGTGAAAATGTGTTTTACTTGATTTGCAATGCGTTACTGAACTCTGTAGCCGAATGATAACAATAGTGCCTACCAATATTTTGTCATTAAACTCAACAAGATCTGTCTACAAGATCTTGTACATTATCTAGTGGTCTTCCATCTCGTCACCGTTTTAGAGAACATAAAGCAGAAATTTAAAAACAGAGTTAAGATCGATAGAAGGGTAGTATGCTTAGATACTTTGTAGATTATAAAAATATAATTTGGTATTGCAGAACTTAGCCTGCATCTGTGAAAAGCTCTGTACTACATGAAACATTTTCGTGCTCAGGTCTACATTAGATCTGTCATTTAGGATAGTACTATTTCCCTCCAATGCTATGTCTGTAAATATGATTCTCTCTGTATATTATAGGCAGTGTAAATGCTCCTAACATAATAGTTCCCAATAACTCAAGAATCATTGAGTTTATTTTAATACATGCTGATTGTAATTTTGTATTTTATTTTATTTTTCATAAAAGCTTTAAAATATATCAGGCTGGTAGTAATTACATTTTGATTACGTAATGATTTTTAAATTCCAGTTTACCAGATTGACTGTATTTTTACATTCAGTTTGTTTGACAGCAAGTATCAGACCTGGGTTGTTCTTGTTGTTTTAGGATAGATTACTATTTTAATGAAAGAGTAAAGAAAACTTTCTTTTCACACAACCACACAACCAATCAAATAAATTAAAATAAAACAACTAGTGTCACATACTGCAAATCAATTTCTGATGTACTATATGAAAGTCTAATTGCAATTTCTTTCTTAGGATACGTGAATCCAAGCTTAAACTAAAGAGTCTCTCTAAAGAGATCACTGTAAGAGTGGAGGGTCTTAAGTATTCAAATTGATGAAAGGGGGGGGGCATTAAATTTTCCTTAAACGTGTCTTCCTTTATTTCTCCCCTGGCAAGCCTACACTACTGCATAAGCTTGCCCAGTTCCAAATTCTATCACACCATCTCTTCAGAGCAAACTCCTGCTCACTGTTGCTATAACATGCAGTTTAAACTGTGAGGAGATAAGATGACATCCTCTTGTTACACCCCTCTTGTTATTTCAACAGGGACAGTTTGCCACCCCCTCACAGGAATGTATTAATCCTAACATCATCCTCAACGGAGAAGTAGAAAGCTCTTATAAACATGATGAAGACAAAACACCCAGTTATATACTGCATCTACTTTGTAGTTGCAGAGATTTACTTCCTTACATGGGTCTGGTGTTTTGCTTGCTATGTTGGCCCAGGGTTTAGGATGGGTAGCCAATGTGTTGTGGACTACAGTTCCCATCTTCCATTATGATTGGTCATGCTGACTGAGGCTGATGGGACTTGTCCAAAAATCCTGGGGAAAGCCCCTTTGGCTGTCTCTGTTCTATGAGATTTCCTAGACTGAGAATCTAGCTTCCAAGGATAGGAAACTAAGCTTGTCTTCTGTACCCCACTTGAGTCTTCACACCATTTACCTACTTCACTCCGGATTTGTGTAGGGTTTGTCCCTTGGCCTTTTCCTCTCCAGAAGATGTCCCACAAGGCAGTGGAAATATAGGATTAGAGTTTTCCTTCCCCTTCCCAGGTTCACGAGCCCCATCAGCCCCTCACTTCCCACTACAGTATGTGCAGAAACTGTCTTCTTGACCGTTGGACCCACAATTGGTCTTGTACCCTCAATCCACCAGTGCCTGTTTTCACATGCAGGGAAGTCCCTAACAGGGTTTGAGACCCATTGGGTACCCTCACCTAGCCAGCCAGTTGAAGCCTGGGTGTGGCCCCTGTCACCTGCTGACAGCTTCCAGGGGCCACAGGATGCAGGGTGAGGACCAAATGTGGACAAACTATCCCGAAGGAGCATAACGTTCCTCCCCAGAGGTACTATTCCTCCCCTAATGCTCCATACACCCCTTTGCAGATCAAGCTGCTGTTAAAAAGCTAGTTCTAAGCTGGTAACTTTACAAGCTATGGGGTTGTGGAAACCTCAAGATGCTTCAAAGATTGGGAACGTCCATTTTAATTTCCCACAATACCCTGGGCCACCAAATATAGTGTCACTCCAGGGCTTCTGCTTCCTGAAGGGGAGGTCCTGAAGTCAATGCTGGTGGGTTTTGCTGGGGCACTGAAGCTCTGGCAGCTGCCTGAGGATGCCAGGTGCCAAAATAGAGCCTTCATCCTGCAAGTATCCATTTAAAATAAAATAAAATCAAACTTTCATGGTTTCTTGCCTCTGGGTTTGTATAAACATAGCTTTAATTTTTAATACAGGTTTTCCCCTCAGTTGTGGATTTTGTATTGAATGTCTCTGTTTGGAGATGATAGATCAAGCAAAACAATAGATCTGAAGATTAAAACCTTTTCCTAGAAACCCTCTGGACTGGAAAAGAAGCTTTGTTTGGGGGATTTCTCCTGCGTCTAGCGAGACAGCGCTTCCTTCCTGTTGCTGAGGTTCAGTTCAGTTGAGCAGCTTCAGTCTGAAGCCCTGGCTCATGTTGCAGCTTGCTTCGAGATACAACTGCATTGGCCTCTTGTCTTCTGGCAGAGGTGAGAAGGCAGACCTGTATCTACAGTCCAGAACAATGTGCCTTGTGGGGTAAACGGTGCAAGTGATGCAAGAACAAAAGGGAAGTAGCTTCCCTCCCTGAAGCTGTTTCTGTTTTAAATGCATTCTCTGTCTCTCTTGTGTATCCTACTAACATCCTGCATGTTGATGCCAAACAGTACCTTCTAAAGTGCGTGACAAGGATGCTGGCAACACTGAGCCCCTTGCAGAGCAGTTAATCCACTCTGGAGGGGAAAAGGAAACCTACAACAGAAGCTAAGTCTCAGTATTGTTAAGCGGGATCAGGTAGAGGGGAAAATGGGAAGAGCTAAATGTAAACAAAGTCTCTGTGTCTGAGGATGGAGAGCAAAATAGACATTAGAAAAACAACTCTTGAAATGCAACCTAGTGCCGTCTTCCACAACTTGGGTCCCTCCAGATGTATTGGACTACAATTCCCATCAGTTCCAGCTAGCACGGCCATGCTGGCTAGGTCTGATGGGAGTTGAGGTTCAAAATACCTGAGGCTACCAAGTGGTGCAAGGCTGATCTGGCAATGGCAAACACTTCAAAGTAGAATTGTTTGGCGATTCGCAAATATCTGATGCAAAGGAGCTAGATCTACACTTTCTGGGTTAATGTGTGAGTCGGCAGTTAGCTGGTTCCTTTGGCACTTTCTGAATGTCCCGATATGGTTCTGGGCTCAAAAGTACAGTGGTACCTCCGGTTGCAGACGGTATCTGTTCCAGAGCTCTGGTCACATCCCAAGGTTTTTGCAACCGGAGGTGCCTGTTCTGTAGAGTGCTTCTGCGCATGTTTGCACAGCGAAACCTGGAAAAATACTTCCGGGTTTGCTGCGTGCGTATCCCAAAGGATACGTAACCACAAGTGCACGTAAGTAGAGGTATCACTGTATATCCAAGTACATTAAATACCAGAAATAGACTGGTTCATCCATCCCTACACTAGAGCTACTATCTTGACCACATTTAATCAGAGGGTGTAGGTCTCAGAAAGAAATAATGGGGAGCCCCTGCCTATCACTGCCCCGTGCCCCCAACAGATTATGCCCAAGGGAAGGTTTTCCATCCCTCCTATGGAGAAGGAACTCAGTCTGAAAAAGTCAACCAAAGGAGGGTGGGGGAACCAGTATGACAGTGCACCCCCCCCCCGAATAGTTACATTTAGGTAAGTTAAGGTTGCTTCTGAAAGCTTTTCCTGATGTTACCCCAGTGGTTAGGAAGTTCCTAGTTCAAATCTCTCATTCACTATGAATTACTAGCTGGCCTTCAGCAAACCACTATTGCCCTATGGGAATAATGTGGGATGTGATACATAAGTAGCAGTCAAGTACAACATTCCTTGTTTTCCTAGAGAAGACATGC